ATTTCAAATGCATTTAATGTATGCAATTAAGAGAATACAAGATAGTGCTGCCCCACAGATGCCACATTGACAATGCCTTAAAATTTTGACTCATATCAGAAAATGAGACCAAACTGTCACATTTCCATTGCCTGTAGCAATTTAATTAAGTACTATAAAGAATGAACTCAAGTGTTGATGTATTTTTCTGTTGTCAGTCGAGTCTTAGGGCAGAATCAGTGTCTATCTTGACCCTACCACCGGCATTTGAACACTCTAAGAAATATCAGAATGGACTCAGTCTCCTAAAAAACTAGACTGAACACTAGAGTTAAAAACAAATGAAATAAGAGACTATAATGAAAAAGTTGTACTGCAGAGAAGGCCATAAAAAAAGACTCTGCTCCAAGAAAAAGGTTAGGATGCTTTGATATAGCTTTTTTACTCATGCACAATCTTCAACAAAGTTCAATCCTAGTATTTTTAAAACTCTTGCAAGTTCTATATATAAGCATGTATATGTATATCCCAAGAACAGAGATCCACAATACTAGGCTTTTGCTCTCCTGCTATTGAAATATTCATGCATGGCTATACTGGCAAATATATTGTGGCTAAAAGAAATAGATAAGCAGAAGCCAAACGCTCCAATTTAAATTGAGAATTACATTATAGCTTTGTAATTCAAACCATCAAGCTCTTGAAGACATGTTAATATAGCAAAAGACAGTTATCTGTTTCTATAATTGGTGTTTTGATGTGTTGCTCATGTCCATTTGACAGACTGATGCTGCAAGATTTTACTTTAGCAGTACCTGCAGAGGAATGTCTCTGAGGAGTGCTTCTGAGTGGTGCTTCCATCATGTGGTATAAAGGTGCCACGCACACACCCACCCACCTTCAGTTCCTTCTTGCCAGAAACATGGAGAGAGAAGAGTTTCAGCTTTCAAACAGTAAGAACTCTCCAACAGTGGTGTGGGATGGAATAGATATGAGCAACTCATCTTGAAGAACATCAGTTATGGAAACAGGTAAGTTGTCTTTCCTTCTCTGAGTGATTGCTTGCGTCCATTCCAGAGCAGGTGACTCCAAGCAATTCCCCCAGGGTGGGGAGGAGTTCACTAACACGTAGGGAACAATACAGACCTACCAAACCCAGCATTATCTCTAGCCTGGTGAACAATGGTGCAGGGGGCTGCAAATGTAGGGACTGGAATGCGAGCTAGAAATGCTGCCTATGAAACCTGGCCCCTTGTGGAATGCACCCAGTCAGTAAGTGGTGATGGTGGGACTCCTGCTAGGCGGTAGCAGGCCGAAACACATGAGATAATCCAGTCAGAGATACTCTGTGTGAAGACAAGGAGACCTTTCATTCTCTGCCATGGAAATAAGTTGGATCAACTTGCAGAAAGTCTTCATCTACTCTAGGTAGAAGGCCAGAGCCCATCTCATATCCATGTGAAGGCACTGTCCTATGTGGTTTGAGACACTACTAGAAAGAAGATCTCCTGCCTCATGTGGAAGGTACACATCACCTTGGAGAAAAAGTCAGGTGGGATAGGAGTGGGACTTTGCCCTTATGGAAGATGGCATACAGGGTTCCTAAGTCAGGCTTGAAGTTCTGAGATACATCTGGCAGATACTATGGCCACCAAGAAAACTACCTTCTCTGACAAGTGGGTTCACAAGCATAAGGCTAGAGGCTCAAGGAACTTGAATAGAAGAATGAGATACTTTGGTTTTGTAGGTGGAGCATGTAGTCAAGAATTGACAAGAGTAGTGGGCCGAGGGGGAATGCAGCCCAATATGAGAATCTTGTTCATTCTACCAGGTAGGCTTATCTAGCTGAAGGCTTTCTGCTCTCAAGTAGGATCTGCTGGACATCTTCCAAGCATTCCACTGGATTCAACCATGCAATGTCCAAGCCACGAGATGGCGGGACACAAGGTTCAAGTGCAATAGCTATCCACAGTCCTGGAACAGATGATCCAGCTGATTCAGTAGGGGCCACAGAGGAAGATCAGCCAGGTTCAACAAAACAATGAGCCAGTGTTGCTGTGGTCAGGCTGGTGAAACTGCAATGATCCGAGTTCTGTCCCTCTTGATTTTTGAGAGAACCTTGCCAATAAGTGGAATCAGGGAAAATGTGTACATCAGGTCCCCTGCCCATGAGATGAGAAAGATGTCAGACATGAATCCTGTGCCCAATACTCTGCTGGAACAGAACCTGAGGTATTTCTTGTTCCATTTGGGTAGAATTCCCATTGATGGTGAGAGCCACAATCCCTGTTTACACAATCTGCCAGAGTGTTCTTGGTCCCTAGAAGTGACAGGCTGTGAACTCAATTTCATGGGCGGCACAAAAGTCCCATAGCTTGATGGCCTCCTGGCAGAGGGCAGATAAGCAGGCTCCCTTTTGCCTCTTGATACAAAACATGGAGGCCATGTTGATTGTGAGGACCATGGATTGCCCAGCCTGGAAGGTGAGGTAAGAGGGCTACGCATGTGAGACAGACTGCCCTGAGCTCTGACATTTATATGTAGTTTACAGAGGGAGATGAAACAAGACCCTTGGATTTTGACATCTCCAAGGTGAGCCCCTCAGTCAGGATCCAAGAAATCTGTCACCAATTTGGCTGATGGGGTATCACCTTGGAACAGAACTCCTTGTAGGATATTTTTCAGCTCACTCCACCACCAAAGATAGGCGAGTACTTCCCTCCACCCAGCCAGGCTCACCATGCCACAGACTGTTTCAGGTGGACTGCTCTGGCTGGGCTGTGGGGAGAAAGCCAC